AATCATTTGAAAAGAAGCACAGAGTCACTTGAGACATGTACTAAAGCATTTGCAATTTGATAAAACCAATGAGAAATGACATTCTGTTGTGAACAATTGCAAGGTGGTTTGGAGATTTGTCCATGTTATTTTGAGAATGTCATCTCAGTTTCAAGAAATGAGCCAAACCAATCGAGAAAAACTGTAATGCAGTGCTGCCTGCGAACCTGATGAGAGCGGAGTTAGCTCGGGCTTAGCGGGGAATTAGCTCAAATGGTAGAGCGCTCGCTTAGCATGCGAGAGGTAGCGGGATCGATGCCCGCATTCTCCAGTATCATTTTGGGGTGGCTGTAGCTCAGGAGGTCGAGCAGGTCATCTATTGATCGGACCCCAAATATTCTTGGGCAAGATATTTAACCAGAGTTTCTCTCCAATTCAGCCATCGCAGAGTGAATGGTAGTTAGTAAGCACTTAAAAGCAGAGAGGACCGTGCTTGGGTGAATGTGGCATGTTGTATATAGAGCGCTTTGAGTACTCCAGGAGAATAAAAATGCGCTATATAACTATCAGTCCATTTACCATGTCATTTTTGGCTTTGTCCTTTACGCACAGATTTCTCCAAAATATATGATAATAATTTATCATCAACTGTAGATGATGAGATATTCACAGAGATATTCACTTGTGAGAAACTGCCTCTCTAAGATGGTCTTTTTGTCATATTAACGATGCTTTGATAATTAATAGTTTCAAAATGTCCCTTCACTTGTTTCTTTTTAGCACCGCTGGTTTTGACTGCCTTTTGTTTCCCCCACCAGTCCAACTGTTTTGAGACCTGTTGCTGCCATCAAATTAAAATTATCTTTCTTTTTTTTTTTTTATTAAAATTGCATTTTATCAATATAATATTTTGTATTTTTTCTGTGTTCTATTGTGAATAAATGTTGGTTTATAAGATTTACAAAGCATTCTGTTTACATGGCATTCCAACATTTTTGAAATTGGGGCTTCTAAACTTTTGAGCTGAGCTCACGAGTTCTTTCCTGAACTTCTCCCATTTTACAGAATTGCAATCTCTAAATCCCAGCCTCCTATTTGGACTGAATTTGGATGGAAATTTAAAGTGTAGTGACTCATCACTTACAGAAAAATGCTCCCCAGTGCTTCCTGATATGAATCTCCACACATTAGCTGCACAATGAGACGTAGGGCAGCTCTGTTTCTGTATTCTTTAGATTACATTACTTATGTTTCCCTTTGGCTAGTTCACACCCTGCTCTATCTTTGTATTAACTGTCTAATAAACCATACACCATACAGTCAGAGTACCAAATGTGCCGATGGGAAACATGCTACAGTGGTTATAATGTGTACCATGTTTGTCTGCTTCACTCTCTTTCATTCACGCAGGGTATTTATCTCCAATCTACAGAAGGAAATTGAAAAGCAGACGGGATATCGCTCCTCTCGCAAGCGGAGGTCAGAGGCTCAGTATGACTACGAGGTTTACCACTCTCTGGAAGAGGTAGACATGAAGCCCAACATCTACCTACCTATCTCTCATTCCCCTCTGCTCTCTAATCTATTGCACCCACAAGGTAAACAGAAAACCTCTCTAAGGGTGCTTTCTCTCAATTACACAGTTCCACATGTGTCTTTCCCACGGCCTCGCGCTTTCACACACCGAGACGTGCGCTCCACTTCAGACACTTCACAGCTTTAGAGTGTTTATTTTCCCAGGTTGATCAGGCTCCTGGTTTGCAAATCTTTCAAGCCCTATGAAACAGCATAGCTCAGAGGACAAATCTTTTGTCCTTTGAGCTTTCATCCTCTCCCTCAATGTACAACACACGTTTACAAAGCACACAGATGTGCAATAATGCATAGTAATTACTTCTGAAAATTATGTAAACAAGTCTTTTAAGATCCACTTCCCTGCATCATTTCCTGTCCCTCAGATCCAGAGCTGGATGTTTATGATGAACACAACCCACCCCAATCTGGTTGACGTGTTCTCTGTTGGGAAGTCATATGAAGGAAGACCGCTTTATGTGCTTCAGGTAGGAGAGGAGGCACATTAAAACTAAGAAACACACTGTCTTGTCCTAATCTAAAGCTAAAAATGCTTGTGTCCCGTCAGCTAGGAAAGAAACGTCGTCTCCAGAAGAAAGCTGTGTGGATCGACTGTGGTGTTCACGCCAGAGAGTGGATAGGACCTGCATTCTGCCAGTGGTTTGTTAAAGAGGTGCTTATAAAGTCTGCAGATTGCTTTTAATTTTTACAATTTTCTTTCTTTGATGTATGCGCGAAAAATGCCTCGACAGGAACACAATGTATATCCCGCTGATTGCCTGCTGTAGATCATCATTCAGGCTATCTGTGACATATGGTCTGTTCATCAAAGCGCCAACATCTGTTCACTTGTCATTTACAGCTATCCAAATACTTAAGAAAATACTTTACAGCTAAAATGCTGGAAATAACACAGGCATTTACGCAAGTTCCTTTGCACCCTTAAAGTCTCCGTGCTCTCTGAAGTGAGGACGGTACCAGACCAGAGCCAGACATTAACTGCAAGAACATTTAATGGCTCATTTTATAATGCTTAAATGCCAGATGAGTGGGATTTTCAACACGGTCCAGCACAATAAGTGCCAGAAAGTAAAGAAAATTAAAGGAAAATCTGTTATCTGTAAAGCTAGGGCGCTGACTTCAAGTGAATTCCAAAGGATTGTTTTGGGTGTTTTTTTGAGTGTTTTTTGAATGTTACCTGTGAGGTGCATTAAAACCAGCTGTTTTAAAATCCTCTTATTTTGAGGTGTAAATAACTGCTTAAACATCAGCTAGTAAAAAGTGTATTACACTGAGCCTGTCCGTTCACAGAACAATGATTTGTTGCACTGACATTCTCCGGTATGATGGTTCAGTTCAAATTTCTAGAAAGGCAAAAGTCAAATACATGACTGTTTGGACTCATGGACTCATGATGAACGGAAATACAAATGTGCTGTGGTGTAGTGACAGAGGTAGGCCACTGGAGGTCAGGGTGCCATCTTTGTTCAAGCCTTAAGCACATTAACCTTGGCCTTAGTCTGGTTAAAAGGCAGGTATAAGCAGCATTAGCCCAGTGCCCAGGTCTCATAGCTCCAATCCTCTTATGCTGTCAGACTCAGTTGTTTGAATGCACAATAGATAATGAGCCTGAATACAATATAAAAAGGATACACTGCTCAGAAATAATTAAAGGAACACTTGATCATCACAGTGTAACATAAAGTCATTTAAATTTCAGGGATATCAATCTATGCAGAAACCTTTGTGAATCAATTTCAGTTGCTTTCATGCAAATGAAAGTGACAACAAGTGCACCGGAGAGGCAAAAACAAAGACCACCCCCCAAAAAGAGAACAAGTTTGCAGGTGGTGGTCACAGACAGGCAAACACAGACAAATTGAGGCATCTCTAAGATGTGCTCACTGTGAGGCCGCTCTGGCAAATGCCAATCAAGCATCCTTATAAGTTTCA